TCAAACAGTCCTGCGGAGTAACTAAACTTGGGACATGAACAGCTCTGAAAGCGTTCCTGTAGTGAACAAATAGAAAACAGTCCTTCCACACCACCTAGGGCTGCAATCTAAAAATCACCCAACGGCAATGAGCTCAGGCCGGGACCAGCGTGTGGATGGCAGGGTGCCCAGGGAAGTGCAGGGGCTGTGGAAGGAGGTGGCAGGGTTCAGTAGAGGGCGCACCGCCCTCACAGAAACCTGCACTCCCCACAATACCAAAGGCGCAAACTGCACAATTGCACAGAAAAATAAGACCTTGCCAAACCGTCACAACTCCCCGTGCCTCCTTTTGCAAAAGGAAAAAATGCGTTAGCAAATGCAAAAGCAACCCAGCCAGACTCCTGTGCAGGCCGTTACATTTTGTGTACGCATGTTTTCCAAGCAATGCCAGCTGTACACTGAGATTTCTTTGCGTGGCCTATCCTAGTAATACCTAGAGCATAAATGACTTTCAAGAGATGACTGGAAGTGGGAAGTGTTGTCAACCCTTCACAGTAGATTAAACTGAAAGTTTAATCTACAGCTGAATGAGCTGTTCAAGGTTAGCAAGATCATGAAGGAGGAAGGAACAGTTCCCAGGAGCCACAGCTCTATTCCCAGTTTTGCAAGAAGACAAACCTCAACAGCTAGAGTAAGTATAGAGAGGGAGATGTCAGGAGATGATGTTGCATGGATCTACATAATCACATGTCTGACCTGTAAAATGAGAACAAAGTAGTCGACAGGCTTGTTTCGCTGGTAGAGGTAGTATTCTGGGGCTTTCTTGTTCTTCTCATCATATTTCAGCTCCTGGATGACGTTGGGATGTTTTAGCAGCCTGAGAAGGATCTTCTCTGACATCTGGGATGGACCAAAGGCTTCTACTTCTAAAATACAAGATACAACTTGGCATTACACTTCAGACGCCTGGCAAGAAGTTAGCCATACTCATCAACAAGCATTTGCTTATAAAAGACACACAGATGCAGACAGATCCATTATGGAATTGCAGACTTCCTGTCTTTTGAGACTCTTAGATTTGCATGGGGAAAAAAAAACAGGAACACCTCAACCTTAATTACGGAAGTACTTTTGAAAACAACCAAGAATTATTTCTTCATCTGAAAAGGGGAAGAAAAAAAAAAAAAAAAGGCAGTCTTGCCCGCTTGAGAGTTCAGAGAGTCACAGCTGTATAGGCTCACTTGGAGAGTAGTAAGAAGAGCGTTACAATTGGGGCACAGGGAACCTTTGAATTTGTTTTTTCTTCTCTAAAGGGTGTTCACATTATGTATTGCACTTGTTTCAAAAAGAATCACCATTTGGGGCCTAGAAAGTTGCTCTATATAGATAGACCCTCTGCATAAATCAAAGACACCATTCAGAGCTGCCAT